AGTGGGCATCAGATCCCCTGGAATTGGAGTTATGGGTGGCTATCAGCCACCATGTGGGTGCTGGGAACTGAACCCAGGTCCTCTGCAAGAGCAGCCCATGCTCGTAACTGCTGAGCCATCTCGCCAGTCCTAGATGCATATAATTTTCTTTTAATTAAAAAAAAATTTAAAATTTATTTGTATGTATGTAGGTAAGTGCACCTGTGTTGTGCAATGCCCACAGAGGGCAGAAGAGGATGTCGGATTCCCTGGAAATGGAGTTATGGACAGTTGTTAGCTGCCACGTGGGGGCTGGGATTTGAACCCGGGTCTTCTGCAAGAACAGTCAGTGTTCTTAACCGCTGAGCCATCTCTCCAGCCCCTAAAGTAATTCTTAAAAAAAAAAAAGAATTTTTTAAAATTTTATTTTCATTTTATGATTTTTAGTGTATTGCCTGCATGTATGTAAGTGCACCCATGACATGCAATGGCAACAAAGGTCAGAAGAGTGTGTCAGATTTCCCTGGAACTGGAGTTATGGATGGTTGTTAGCCACTATATGGATGTTGAGAATCACACGTAGGTCCACTGCAAGAGCAGTCAGTACTCTTAACCGCTGAGCCACCTCTCCAGCCCCTTAGAGTAATTCTTAACTCTCTGGGATTTACAGACTGGCAAATGAGCACTGGCTAAACCTAAAGTAAATAGCTGCATTAGCCCCTAGCAAGTCAGCATATTTTTTTGAATTTATAAAGATTTTATTTTACTCTGGAGCTGGAGAGATGGCTAAGCAGTTAAGAACACTGGTTGTTGTTACAGAGACCTGGGTTCGAATCCCAGCACCCACATGGCAGCTAACAACTGTCCGTAACTCCAGTCCCAGGGGATCCGACAGCCTCTTCTGTCCTCCACGGGCATTGAACGACACAGGTGCACTTACCTATATGTAGGCAATACATGCATACATCTAAAAAAAATACACAAAAATTTTTTTTAAAGATTTTATTTTAAGCCGGGCATGGTGATGGTGCATGCCTTTAATGTCAGCATTCCGGAGGCAGAGGCAGGCGGATCTCTTTGAGTTCAAGGCCAGTCTGGTCTACATAATGAATTCCAGGACAGCTGGAGACCCTGTCTCCAAAAGACCAAAAAAAAAAAAAAAAAGATTTTATTTTACTTTTCAGTACATGCATCTGTCTGTGGTAGTATACATGAGTGCAGGTGCCCAGAGGCCAGAGGAGGCATCAGATTCCCCTGGAGCTGGGGTTACAAGTGGTTGTGAGCCACCTGACATCAGTGCTAGGAACTAGACTTGGGTCGTCTACAAGAGCAGCACAAAGCTCTTGACCTGAGTCATCTCTCCAACCCTATGTTCTTGCAATGTTTCACAGCAGGCACTGGCTTTTCCTCTCTAAGTAGAGAAGTCCTAGAAGCCATCCTCTAATATAGTTTTTCTCTACATTAAACATGTTATTAAACACCCTCACCAGAAAGAACTGGGCATGGTGACATACACCTTTAATCTCAGTATTTGGGAGGTAGAGGCAGGCAGATCTCTGTAAAATTAAGGCCAGTCTGGTTTATATAGCCAGTTCCAGGCTATGGAGACCCTGTCTCAAAAAGATGAGGAAGGAAAAAGGAGGAAGAAGGCAAAAGAAGGGGGGAGTATTACTTAGCATAGGGTAACTAAAGCCTAACTTGCTACAGCTTCCACACCAATCAGCTAATGAGACTGTACTTTCCCTGAACCTCATGAGCTTCCCAAAACCTCTGCTCCTTCCCAACATCTCTGTGGTGTCTTCCTGTGCCCTCTGAACCTTCACACAATCTGCTGTGGACTGAGCTTTATCCTTTTTTTAAATAGTTTTATTATTTTATGTGTATGAATGTATTGCCTGCATGTGTCATGCAATGCCCTCAGAGGCCAGAAGAGGGCATCAGCTTCCCTTAGAACTGGAGTTAGGTTGTTACCCACCATGTGGGGGCTGGGTACTGAACCTAGGTGGGTCCTCTGCAAGAGAAGCTAGTGCTCTTAACTCCTGAGCCATCTCTCCAACCCCCTGACCTTTATCTTAAGGAAATGGTATACTAGTAATTTGATCCTCTATTCAAGGCATTACATATTTCTCCTTATCAACAACAACCTGCATCTCTTTCATCATCCCTTTGTTGGAGTAAGACTACTCCCTTCTAGGCTTTCCTTTGTACTTACAATGCAGCACTATTTGGTACAAGGGACAGAGCTTTGGGCCACTTTGGCTTTTGATATACCTCCTTACAAAGCCAGAGGATTTCTAGCGTGTGATTTAAAATGAGAAACGCAACTCTTCGTCTCACTTGTACCCTTAGAGACCACTGGAGAATCACTAAAGGGCAAGATTTCAACAATACGGCACATCCCGGGATGGGAAAGACAGAAGAAGAGACACAGTGAATAAACGCCTAAGTCAAACAGTAAGAACATACATGTGAACTTATTAGTAAAGTTTGCTTTCTTGCACAGGTGTGATTCATGGATTTCCAAAACAATAACAGTAACATCAAAGATCAGTCATCAGAGTTCACCACTGTAGATATCATAGCACAAAGTCTCAAATACTGTAAAGAATTAATGTAATGTGATATACACATGCTTATGGCACCAACAGACACTTGTGAAAGAAAGACTGACCAAAAGCCTTTTAATCTACTTTTAGTTGTGGGGAGGCTGGGGGGGGGGGGGGCAGCATTAATTTCTGCAAAGTGCAACGACGCCAGGCACTGTGAAGGGAGGGACCTCTGGACCAACAAGATCCTGGTACAGGCAGGGACAGGCAGAGCTGGGCGAAATCCTGATTGCAGCTTTGAGAGCCTTGAGGACTTCAAGGACTGAAGACAGGGGTAACCGAGACCACCGAGGTCACCAAGTGTCACCAAGTGACAGGGTCTGTGCTTCTAAGACCCTCTACAGTCTCTTGTTCCACTCTTTGTTACCTGAAAGTTCTTCCCAAGAGCCTGTGCTACTGCCTTCCTACGTGGCTGTTCCTTGTGGACGTCTTCAAGTCTGATCTGTGACTAGATGACTCTGGTACCAACTTGTGAGGTTCAAGTTCTTTTCTTGAGCATCTGATGTCGTAGAGGGAAACTGCACAACAGCACTCCTGCTCCTGGATGGAGATCCTTCCTTGGGGAGGATTGACGGTTTCCCTGTCACTACTCTGAAGGACTCCACAGTGCTGCTGGGGTAGAATGGGTAACCTATTCTACTACTGCAGAGCCTTGGTTAGCGCTAGCTGTCTGAAGTGATCCCACACTCCCCACTCTGCCTTGCCTGTGCTCCATCTCCATGATATGGCACCAATGTGGCTGAAGCTCTGATAACCATGAACGTTGTCTGCGGCAGAGGCTCGTAAGTTCTTTAAGGAGAACAAAGCAGTGTGTCAGCGCTGTTTAATAATCATGGCTGAGAGCTGGGCATGGTGGTACACACCTTTGATCCCAGCATTCCCGAAGCAGAGACATGCAGATCTCTGTAAGTTCAAGGCCAGCCTGGTCTATAGAGCAAGTTCCAGGCCAGCTGGGGCTACAGGGAGATCCTGTCTCAAAAAGACAAAAATCACCACCACCACCATCATCATCATCATCACCATCACCATCACCATCATGGTTGGATCCACGGCTTCCACTGGATCTTTGTTGGTATTTGAGCACTCACATAGATGGAAAGTGCCCATGTGCCCACTTCACAGACTACACCACCAGAAGGCATGAGACTTCCTCATACTGAATGTTATGTAAGAAGCTGGGGATGACCTAAGCATATCCAAGGCCCAGAAGCCTGCCCTGACATCTCCAGATCCCTGAAATGAGTGTCTCCAAGCTGAAAACATTCTCCTTTTAATAACTAACCTAACCCACCTATAATAGTCCATCAATACAGGGGTTGTAGACAGGTAACAGAAAATTATATAACACAGAATTTAGCCTTAAATCAAATTTACCAACCCCTTTATTTGAATCAAACTGTAAAGGTATCTCAACTGACTAATTATAGTAAAAAAGGAGCAAAGACGTCCTTAAGCTTCCTTGCCACTAGACAACTCTGCTCCCCACATATGGAACCAGACGAGGGGAGGGGGAGGGGAGGGGAGGGGAGGGAAGAGGAGGGGAGGGAAGAGGAGATGCTTCTTTAATACCTGGCCAAAACAAATGCCTCTTGGAAAGCCACTATCTCCATTTTCTGAAATCCAACCTGCCCACTTTCAGAAACACACTTCCCACTCTGCCTTGCCTGTGCACCTCCCAGAGTCTCTCGAGTCTTGAGATCTCTCTCCTCCCAAAGCCTTTGGAGTGTGAGTCCCTCCCTTTGGGTGATGGGCCTTCAGGTTTCTCAGCAGCAGGCAGCCTGAAGGGAAGCACAGTTCACTATGTTGTGGTGTCTCTTCCCTGATAAACTCTAAGTTGTAACAGCAAGAATTTTTAGAGACCTTGTTATGGTTAACTAAATTTTTTAAATTAATTTTTATGCTAGCTATGGTTAATAATTTTTAAAGGACCCTTACCAAGGATAGGATGCTTTTAGGAATTAGGGACTGGTAGGAGGTTCTTAGGTTACTGGGGTATCCCTGAGTGGAAGGTGCCCTTAGCCTTTTCCTCTTCCTCTCTCAGCTTCCAGGCTCAGAAACCAGCAGTTTAGTCCCATAGCCCTCCTCCCATGGTCTGTGGCCTTGTCAAGGCCTAAAGCAACAGGGTCACTAGAACTTCAAAGTGAGTCAAAATAAACCTTTCCTCTATAAATAAACTGACTTAAAAATTTCATTGCAGTTATATCACATAATAGCAATGCCCACCTGCCCAGTGCAAGGATCAAATCCAAGACTTTAAATCAAATCTAAATGTTCTGAGCTGTACCCTTAGCTGTGAGGTGTACATTAAATAAATCTGTAACAGGAAGTACCTAGTAAGTTGGGTAAAATCCCTTCATCTCTTTTTGCACGTGCCAAACCTCAGCACTTAAAGGTGAGAAGTGGAAAACTACTTACCCTGACATCAGTGGCATCGCCATGCCTGATAATACTGGCCCAGGTGGTCGGCTCACTACTGCTTTCAAAATAATGAAAGACCTTTAATACTCGCTCCATTGCACCAGGGGACCGTTCCATGCCAGTACCTAGGTGAGTCTTAGCACTAGAGCTTGGTGTGTGATTCAAGTTTGGGTCAAGGTGAGCAGCTGCCATCCTTCTGCTGGACGCTAGGTATTGGTCATATTCTGTTGAGGGAAAAAAAAATGCCTTTCAGTGTAGAGCACTTGAGATCTACCAGTTACAATACACTATGTTGGTACTCTGCTGCCAACACTGCTTTCCAGTGTCCACGATACACCATCTACACAAGAAGTTTCGGGAATACAGGGACTTGGCCCTCAAAACAATCACTGTGCTCCCCATTCCCAGGGCTAACATAACAGCATAATAAATACTTGCTGAGCAATCTGTTAAAAGGCCAGGTCTATTTTAATGATGTAAAAATTTTTATTATGTTATCTAAAAACAATGTAACAATATCCCTTTATTTTTATCCAGTCTTTACTTCTGTGGGAATTTCACAGCAAAGTCAAATTTATTCATTTGTGGCCTACTTTAAAGAAATTTTCTCCCCAAATTCTTTCTTCATACCATAAAAACTTCACACATACTGAGTACTGGCAATTAAAATCAGTGTAATAGAAACAAGGTGGGGTGCACATTAGCTGTGCCCAGCTTCACACTTCATACTAATGCCTACAAAGTAAGTGCTCATACCTACTGAGTCATCTCCCAGTCCCACCTTGTTTTAATGGCATTGGGAGGCAGAGACAGGCAGATCTCCAGAGTGTGCTAGTCAACCAGCCCAACTGGCAAAGTCCAGTTCAGTAAGAGCCTGTCACAAGACAATATGGACAAGAGCAAGAGAGGAAAACATCCTGCTTTGGCCTCTGCATACACAGGCACCTTCACACTCATGTGCATGCACCACACACACACACACACACACACACACACACACAAACGCCCCCCACATATATACATGATCTCTCATCCAAGTCACTATTTAGTCACACACAAATCAGCTGACAACAAAGCTAGGAAAGAATTTTTAAAACCACCCTGGTTTTGCTTTGGTTTGGGTTGTTTCTGTTGTTTATTTGCTTTTTGAGACAGGATCTCCTACATCAGAAGCTGGTCTTAAAGCTCTTAGAGAAGACTGACCTTGACCTCGTGAGTCTCCTGTCTCCACCACCAGAGTGTGAGATTACAGGTGTGAAACACCATAACCAGCACAATTGCTTTTTTTTCTTCCCTCTGTAAGTGTGGGTAAGAGTATAAATAACCTGGTCTACAGCACAGTTCCCTTGACCTCACCCGACCTTGTCTGAACACAGAAGCTACGTGGGAACAGGCCTGGTCAGTATTGGATGAAGACTAGCAAGACTAAAACTCTGAGAAAAATCTGGAAAACTCTAAGGACGTTTTGGTATAGGCCAGAGAGGTTGTGAAATATCCAGGATAACACAGCAAAGACAGCCAGGGACAGAAATATGCCCTAGAGATCCTCCTTGCCACATGGCCCTTAGCAGCGCCAGGTCAGAGATCCAGGTGAAAAAAGGCAACTAGCCAGCGACCAGCAAGGCTTTTTAGCAGGAGGGCCCAGGAGCTGGCAAGACGGGGAAGGAAGAACCTAGTTACTCTGCTGAAGGTCCCATTGGGGCATTATTGAGTCCTGAGTCAAGAGTGGCAAGGAAGCTTCTAACAACATGGGCAAGAACAGCCACGAGGCTGAGGAGACAAGACTTAGACCCTGGGCACCTGGAGCAGGTCTGCTCAGAATCATCCTGGGCTGGATTCAGTGGCCAGGCTCCACCTCATCTGCCCACCAGGACAGAAAGACAGCACACATGACATCTGCCATTTCTTCCATTTAATAAGAAAACAAAACAGGTATGACAGCACAACATAAAGCAAATACAAAGTCAAAAGACAAAAAACCTGAGAGAAATGCACATGCCTGTCATACGTGCCTGCCATACGTGCCTGCCATATGCATCATCGGAAGAAGAGCGGTACCCTGAGTGCATCAAAACATCTTAAAATGTTTTTGAAGAGCTATGAAGCCAGGTATGGAGGCGCACACCTTTGATCCCAGAGGCAGAGGCAGAAGCAGGTGGATCCCAGGTCAGCTGGGGCTACAGGGAGACCTAGTCTCAAAAACACCCAAAAAAAAAAAAAAAAGGACCTATGTTGACAAGGCTGTGCAAGCTCTTGTTTGTACACTGCTGGTCACAGAAGTGGCAACAGCACCATCAGTGTGCAAGTTGTCTGGTGGGGCCTCAAACAACTAAACAGAACTGTGACCCAACACGGCCACCAACCAGTACATCTGAGACTGAAGCCACACACGCAAACAAAAACCTGTCCACATCCATCCACGGCAACACTGTTCATGACAGCTACGAAGTTCAAGTCATCCAAATGCCTTCTGCAAGAACCAGATAAACCAAAAGTGGGGTTCCCACAACAGAATACTCTTCAGCAAAAAAAGGAAAGGAATGTAGTACTGATACATGCCACGGCATGGGAGACCCAAAAAAACACGATTCTCTAGAAGCCTACCATGAAAATCCACAAACTACATGAAGTTCAGAATATGCAACTCCACAAAGACAGGAGGCAGATGGCTGGCTGCCAGACTGGAAGGAGGAGGAAGGACCGCTGAAAGGTGAGCGTGCGTCTGCTGGAGGTGGTGCACAGGTGGGGAACACACAGTGGTGTGGCTGCACAGCACTGAATACACAGAAAGCACATAGCGTGCACTCTCAGGTGGTTAAAATGGTGTTTTATGGAATAGACCTTTACTGCAACAAAAACACACTTTTGGGGGGGGGTCTTTTTGAGACAGGGTCTCCCTGTAGCCCCAGCTGTCCTGGAGCTCACTGTGTAGACCAGGCTGGCCTTGAACTCACAGAGATCTGCCTGCCTCCGCCTCTCAAGTGCTGGGACTACAGGCGTGCGCCACCACGCCCGGCTAAAACACATTTTTTAAAGCTGCTGAATGATTTTAAAAATCATGCCTTAGGCTGGGTGTTGGGGACCCCTGTTGTGTAAAAGTAGAAGTTTCTTCATGTCTGGACAGCTCACGAGCTTGGAGCCATATGCAGGGACTCCTTTCACAGCAGGGTGTCTTCCCGGCATTTTTCCTGACTCCTTTGTGAAGTAGCAGCCACATAAACATGGCCTCTGGCTCTGGAAATGCCATGCTTTCCTGTGTGATTTTTTCTGGAAGTCTGGCAACCTGGCAGGAGTTCACTTCCATATGTAAATAGGGTGTCTCACAAAGTGCCTATCAGCTAAAGCTTTTACCACTACCTCCATTGTATAAAGTTCCCTGGTTTTCACTCAATATTTGGAGCTGGAAGTGGAGCTGGAGCTAGGAACTAGAGCTGGGACACTGAGACTTGGAGCCGAGCAGAATCACTTAATAAAGAGCTGTAACACGGAAAGCTGAATCCTGTGTCTCCCTGCCTGCGTTCCAGTCTCCCCGGGGGGCGCTATCCTCCCGTCATCGACTCACGGACACCTAGCTTTAGCCGCCCCCGCACTTTCCCGCGTGATCCAGCGGCCGGTGGATCTCGCATCTTGAGGAAGGCGCACGGGTGAAATTAGGGCGGGACCCGATCGGGCAAAGCCCTGGCAGCAACAGACTTTCAGCACTCAAGCGGCGGACAGCGACGCGGTGCGAGACCCACCGATCCTCCAGGTGTGCGCGGTGGAGAAGCCCGCGGGACCCGCGCCACGACCTCTCGGGTGCGTGCAGGGGCCCCGAGAGCCCAGCGCGCTCCCCATACCTGGTGCCCAACGTGGGGCCTCTGAACCTCATGCCAGCTAGGAGCTGGTGCCCACGGAAACGCAGGATTCGTGAGTATCCCTCCCCATAAGGAGGGCAATAATAAAAATCTCTTTTAAATTTCCTCCTTTTGTTTCTGGTCTGAAGTCTTCGCGTGGGACCTCTAGGGACAGAGAGACAACTGAGGCTTCCTGGTCAGGGCTACCCCCTGATGTTAGCTAAAGGTCTCTCTGACCCCCTAATGGACCCCGACTGCCTGTACAGGTGTAGACAAAAGACCTCTATCTTTATATCTTTCTAATATCAAACAAAACCTGGTGACGCAATGGCCAGTTAAAAGTCACAAGGACGGCCGCCAGCCTCTCAAATTTGCGTGCTGGGAACCGCAGTTCAGTAAAAATTCAAATTAGCTAATCCCTGCCGAGTGCCTGCAGCCAAAAGTGGCTCTCAGACAAAAGATTTAAAGTGACACATTTTTCCTCTGCAGTCTTAGCCAAGGCGCTTCTACCCTCTAGTGTCCAACTGCTGTAAAAACATCTAAAACAAACAAACAAACAAAAAACATCTTCCTCTTACAATGGGAAACTCAGTATCAAGACAGAGAAAACGTCAGATCCATTCTCTTAAAACTCTACTCAAATCTAGAGGGCTTAAGATTTCAAAAGAGGAAAGCTTAAAATTTTGGAATGAGGTGTATCGATTCGCACCCTGGATCATATCAGCAGACATATCTGATCCAGAGGTGTGGAGCTTTCTTTCACATTTGGCATATAAGAAAGAAGCCCAAGAAAAGCATGATTTTCCTCTTTCCTTTTTCCCAATAATGGCAGCCATCCAGCAGTGCTTAAAAAACCCACCTAAAATTGAAGAAAGTTTACAGGCACCAGAGAATAATAAAATAGAGGTTTTAGATGATAAAAAAGACCCTAAAAACAGCCCAGTAACAGATTCAACAATTTCAAAATTAAAATCTGACCAAGCCAAACAAAATCCACCCATCAGTAAAATTGATCCTCACCCCTCTCTTGCTGATTTAACAAGCCCAGATACTAATGCCCAAATTTCAAAAGCTTCCAAAGATTCTCAGGTAAATTCCCCTCCCCCTCCAACTTGGCTGCCTCCAAGCCCTGCGGCACCTCCACCCCCTGTGGAGACACGCCTTACAGCCACAGAGCAGCTGTGTAACCTTAGAGACAATGAAAGTTGCCAGCCTCAAAATTTCCAGCCTCAGTGGTCTCAGGACTCCCAAAACCCACTGGTAGAGGCTTTTCCTGTTAACTTGAAAATAACCAGGCAACGTCCACTGGCCTGGTATCCACTCCCAGCCGCAGAACTTAAAGAATTGTGCCAGGCTGTACGTGAGGATGGCATTCATGCTCCATGGGCTAA